TGTCTGATGCTGAGGCAATCACGGATTTTGTGGAACAGGCAGGCTTTTTTTATTCTCTTCATGAATTAAATTTAGAATGCTGTATATAGTTCAGTACTTCTCACATATAAATCTTAAGTATATTGAGAAATATGCTTTAAAAACTCTCTTGCCTTTTAACTTACGGGGATCCATATTTTATTGGAAATCTTGATGTTGTGTATGAGGTTTCCATGTAGGCCTCCTCCGCTGTTGTATATGGGACTTTGAGGGTGCAGGACACAAATTAGGGTTTAAGTGTCAAATTATACTATTGAGGTTCACTTCAGAAGTGAGGTTCTGGCTCAGAAGGGCATTCCAGTACCACGTGACATGCTGAGGAAAGGCATTGGCAGAGAATGAAGGGAAATGAAAAAAAGCATGGCAGTGAAGTCACAGTTCCCACTTTGCTGCACCTGCGTGGTTCAGTTTTTGCATGGGGACAAAAAAACCCCCAAACCCTCCCTGCATTCTGTCTTTTAGTTTGTTGAAGAAAAGCTGTTTTTATGTTCTGTCCATTAGGCCATGCTTCTTCTGTTGACTCATCTGTGGCAGGGATCAAGAAAAAGGTGAAGAACATTATCTTTAAATTTTCTGCTGAAAAATAAGTCATAGAATTTTTTTCATAAAGTTTTCATTGACATTTATCAATGGGAGAAAGCACATGGAAAGCTGTTGGCTTTCATGAGTACTAATGACAAGATACAAGGGCTTTCCATATTTATTTTATAGCATATTGTTACTTGGCAGCAATGCAGTGGGTCCTCTTAGGGCAAAAGAGTGAGGAAGGTAAGGAGATGCTGAATGCTGTTAGAATTTATGCTTTTGGGGCTGTGAGTAAAACCTTCAGCATAAGAATTAATCTGGACATTTATTCATTTTTAGGGTTTATTTTTTCTTCATAGAGCAAAGGTTAAATGATGCATTTGTATGGTAAATGTCATAATTTCTCAGTTGGCTTGGTTTGAATAGTCAGTAATCATTCTCTGTGATGCTTGTGACCATATTGAGATTTTATTCAATAGCCATTGAAATAAACACAAGGGGCAAAGTTACTATTTTTGTTTTGTTATCGTTTTGCGTAGGCCACATGCTGTTCTTTGTATTTGAAATCCCTTTCAAAGATATTTCAACTCAAAATACACAATAGAGCTTGGAGGATCCAGTGATTATGTCTGGCAATGATACTGTGGATTTAAGTCCTAACAAAGCCTAAAATAATCTGTTTTAATTAACTAAATTATTTTTTTCTCAATAATATGATTAGAAGGACCTTGTACCAGCATTCTTACTTTTATAATAAAGTCACAAAGAAGAGGCAGATTTCAGCTTCTGTACACAAAAAAACCCTACCATATGCTTTAGAAGTAACAATCATAAGAATGTGTCTATCTTACACTTTTTAATCCTCTAAAGATGTATGTGTTTGCTTCAGCGGATCTTTCCATATGCATAAAGCAAATAGATTGCAGCTTGTAAGAATAAATTTTAAGGGCCAAGAGAATTAAAAAAAACCAAAACCTCCCATGGTTCACCAGTAGTCATTTTGTGTTTCATAATAGCAGTGAATGTGTGAGATAAGCTTAGAAAATTTTTTAGCAGGGTGGAAAATTGGAATGAATCAATAGCATAAATGACAGTGGGCTAGACATGTAACAGGACACAGTGAATAGGGACTTTTCTATGGGAACCCATTCCAATGAACTTTCAGCAGGCTCTGTGTCCCATGTGAGTTTGTCTTGTCTTTATGCTCTGAGAAGACCTTGCTTTCCATAATTTTTATTAAACAAATAGTCTGCATCTAAGCAGTTTACTATGTTACCTTTCAGTACTGTGGTCCTGTTTATCTTGGTATAGGTTGTGTATTTTTTGTAATTTGAATACTTGATGGAATTCACATTCTATAGTCTTAATCCTCAAATGGATTATCCAGGAATATCCATGGCAGTTAATATTTTGATTTCTAGCAGAAATATTTTCTTGGCTGCTCATTAAATGAGGAATCCTCTCCCAAGAGAATTTATTTCAATAGACTGTAATTGAGGTGATATACTTCGCAAGGAATACATGAATATATGTGAGTAAAGAGAGACTAGCAATTTCAGTCACGCTTTAGATTACCTTGGAAAGTTAGTTTCAGTATGTAAAAATGTGTATGCACAAGTTGATGCACATCTTGAGCCAAGGAGAAGGAATTTGCAATTCTTCTCTTTTCTGCACTTTGAATTTCTACAGCTTTCTGCTCTGTGAGAGCCCAAGTGCTGTGCAGTGCTTAGCTATAGGCATCTGCCTGATTCAGGCCCTATTCAGTGCTCCTTGGCTAGAGAGGATCTCACCTGTGCCAGGTGTGTTAGGCACAGCTAAAACCTCACAGCAGTGAGGTTAAATCAAGGCAACCATGAGGAGACCTTCAAAGTTTGCAGAGAAAGGCAGATTACATTGCTGTCAATAAGAAGGTGATTTTTAAATAAAGGCAGTGTGGAAGATTAGAGAATGCAAAAATGCCTAACTGATTATATTTAAAGAGGTTGGAGACAAAAATGGTGAAGTTCAATACATAAATAAAGATTTAAAAGATATAAAAAATTGACAAAGGTGTCTAAGAAATGATATGCAGTTAATCAATAAGTACTGCTTTAAATATGCACTGTACAAAGTAAACAAAAAGGAAAGAGAGTATTGATCAGCATGTGTTGAAAGGTAGTGACAGGGACTAATCTGACTACACAAAAGACTTAAATCTTCACATAGTTGTTTGAGCAAGATAATATTGTCTGGTCTCTGAACTGCTTTTATCTTTGCAAGACTTATTCTAAAGCATCTTTAACAAGACAATGATCGCTATTCAGGACTGACAAAAGAGCATAGCTGCATTAAACTTACCATTTCTCAAAAAAAAACCACCTAGCACAAGGAAAAAAAATGAAGTATTTAATGAGGTCTTATGTTGAAAGAAAAGCAAAATTAAGCCTGTTTGCGTGCCTTACTTAAAAGAGTTTCTTTTAATAAATAGGGTTTTTTTTAATTATATGGAAAGTTAAAGTGAAATTAAAGTTCATAATTATGTATGTTTTAGTTGTAGCTTAGGCAGTAGGTGCTGAAATCAGTATTCGGGCAGAACAGGTTAACAGTTGCTGAACTGAAGAATTCCTTAATTATTTTCAGTGTGACTCACCTCAGCATATGAATTTAAAGTTTGTAGGATTAGTCCTTTGTGTGTTGCAGTGGAAATTGAAGGTGGGTGACAGTGTTTACACAAGCTAGTAAAACAATCAAACCAAACAAACAAACAAAAAGAAATTAAAACCCCAAACGTTTGCTGCATTGCCAGTGAGGATTTACTGGTTTATACATGCCAATGAGGAATGAGGTCTAAAGCTGCACTGGAAGCAGTTTTACTGCAATGTGAACAGGATTTCTTCTTTAATTACAACCTTTCAGTTATATTTTACACGGATAAAAAGTCTATTTGCTTCTTTTTATTTTTAAGACAGTATAGTAAAACTACAACTTGTAACATTTCAAATTTAAATGAGGAAAAAATGTCAACAGAAGCTGAGGACATTGTATCTTAGAAATGGCTTCTGTGTCATTGTGATGTTCGTTAGGTGAGTAAGTAGAGAATTAAAAAATAAAGATTTGGTCCTTGCAATTTTATTTTTAATATCTTACAAAAAAAGGGCTGAGATTTACAAGAGACAAATGATTGTATTTAAGACTCCAAATCTTCAGTAACAGCACTGTAATATACTTTCTTGAGAAATTATAATTCGTACTGATTTGGATACTGTACATAGTCTTTAGTCATTATAACACCAGATAGTATTTGACTGACATTCCCACTAGGTATAGATTTTTTTTTAGTATTTGCCTAGATTCGTCTTGGTGTTCTCATACAATATTTGTCATGAACCTGAGACTTACAAACTTGGAATTACTGCCATCTACTTGACATATGTGTCTGGTGTTCATCCTGACGGGTGGGTCTGCATTGAAGATCTCTAACCTAGAAAGGAAGTGTAGGTTTGTCAGTGTACAGTGCTTGTACTGTGCTTTGAGATTCCTACATGTAGACTTTCCACCTGAAATACGTGAATGAAAACACTGGTTTGTATGTTGCACGCTTGGAGAAATGATCTTAAAAACTAACAATCTGTTCAGCATGTCAGCACTTTGAACTTGAAAAGTAGTTGAAATAATTAAAAAAAAAAAATATAACACTTAAGAAGCTGTTGTGTAATTGAGTTTGTGAATCTCCAGTTGCTTATCAACTTCTTTCTGCTGTTTTCCTTATTTTCTTAGCTTTTCTTCTTTTTTTTTTTAATTTTCATTCTGTTCCTGTTTTAAAATTAATTTGAATATTATGAGACTTATAAAGGAAATTTGTTTCTTAAAAATAGACTCCTATCAAAGCAATATCTGGTGCATTGTAGCAAAGTACTCATTGGGTTCTTTCCAGGTTCATTGAATTAATTTTTTACTGCCTTATGTTGTAAATAAACTTCAAGTGCAGAGAATGACGTGGGAATGAGGCATTGTAATTACATTTTTGGGGTAGCTAAAAAAGAACTTGGACTCTCCTGGGACATTGCAAGAGTTCTGATGGTTCTTTCCTTCAGCCAGCAAAATTCCATGGTTGTAGGGCTCTTTATCCTATTGATGGTAGAATCTTTTGTTTAAAAGGCTGAAAAAATGGCACGTAGGGCAGAGAAAATATTAAACTGTCCTGATTTTCATTAATTTTATCTCTTACTGTGTATTGGAGCCATTTTCTAAAACTTCTCTAGGAGGCCACAACTCTATGAACCTTTATCTAGATGAGAGGTTCAGAGAAGCATCCATTCCGTTGAGGAACTGACCGACCCAGACCTCCGAGCCTCTCGTATCCATCGATCATTAGCGAAAACACGATGTGCTGAAATCCGCTTTTCGCAAGTGCTGTTTTCTGATGCTTTCATAATTCTCCCTTTTGCTGTTCACAGAGAGCGAGGACGTGTACCAGCGCCAGGTGCTGTCCATTTCCTGTATCGTCTTTGGCATAGTCGTAGTGGGCATGCTTTGTGCAGCGTTCTACTTCAAAACAAAGTAAGAGCCTTCGTCTGGCGTGCTCGTTCTTTAGCTCCTGTCCTTCTTACAACTTTACAGTTCTTCAGTTTCTCCCTCCTTTTCAACTGTTGTTATCTCTGGTCAGGCCAGAAATGTTCCCCATGGCTAAGTCCCCTCAGAAAGTAAACACAAGTAATATGTGTTGTTTTTTCTATTTTCTGATATCAGGAGAGAATAGATTGTGTCATTTCCAGTTCTTTTTTTTTTTTTCTTGACAGCAATAATTTTGTGTCTTTTGCTATCAGTGCAATAATCACTTTCCTTTCTTGAAAATGACAGTTTAAACATACCATCTCCCTTTTGCATTTCATTTCATGTCCCTAAAAGTCCCATTTATTCTGTATGCTAAGAACAAAAGTAAAGTTAGAAATGCACAAAGAAACAAGCTCTCTGCAGATATCTGCAACCTGTAGCTAATAGTTGTAAACTGTTGATGTGAATGCATTAGTATCGGTGATATAGAAGCACTTTGACTTTTCCAAGTACGGTGAAATAATCTGTACTAAACTATTTTCAAGAGAAATACTTTCCACTCTATTCTTTTATCTTCCCAACTGAACATTTATTGTACTGTGTGTAATTTGAGTTGCAAGAACCTCATAGCAATTACTTGACCTGTTTGTCAGTGCCACTGTATCTATAAGTATGTTCTCTATGGTTGTTCCAGCTGGAGCTAAGGAGAGAACACATACCAATGTAAAAAGTACCTGCATGAGGCTAGTTAGGGTGACTGAGCACCAAAAATGTGGAAGTTTGCGCTATTTAAAAGTCTGGATGCTTATCTGAATCCCCCTTTCTAGAATTTATTTTAATGGCTAGGAAGTCTGATGAGGACTGCTTTTTATTTAAAATAAATTACAATTGATATTTCTATCAGGAAGAAAAAAAAAGGGACAAAAAAAGAAATTGGAAAAGTCATCAGATCTTTTTTCCCCCTTTTTCTTTCCCTCAGACTGCAGGGGTAGTTCGTGCGTGACTTGAGTGGATATTTGAGTGGTTCATGTTTTTTTGCTGAACACTCCTACCTGTTCTAATGTCTTGAAAGATTTTGTTTGATTGTTTTTTGGACATCCAGTATGACAGCAATGCTAGCTGGGAAGGACGGACAGGCAGGACAGTTCCTCTCTGCAGACTCCTTTATTGTAGTGTAATTTGTAAGCAGACACAGCCATTTTTGTACTGCATTAGAAATGTCATTATGCATTTTAGATCTGNCGAGAGAGAATCTACCTGGAAAGGCTTGGGGGTTTTGCTGAAGAAGAGAGATTCAGAAAAGGCAGAACGGGATTGTCAGTAGGAAGAACATGCAGTCAGTGACTGAGCATACTGTGAATAAAATGCCCCTCTGTTATTCACTTGTGCCCCCCTTGGTTTGGCACTGTTGTAGGGAGTGGTGCAAAGGTGGGCTGGAACAGCCTTCAAAATACCATGACTTTGATGAGGTGGTGAGGAGAGCTATGACTGAAAGTAATGAGTGGAAATAACACTTCAAAGATGGACTCACAGGACAATAGTGCGTCATAACTCAGGAGGAGGTTGGGAGTGCTGGGTTTGGGATTTTATCTGCATTATAAATATGATAGTTGAGAGGTACAGGGAATAGTTGAAGTGTGCTTATGCCAGATTCTGGGAACTGAATTTTGAAGAGTTATGAGAAAATGAGCCCCTCTGGTTCACTCAGGAGGTCTTATACAATATATGAGTAGAGTAATGGTGAGATACTAACACCCTGGCTGTGGCTCCATCTAGCACTGTCCAAAAAGTAAAAGTGTCTAGAATGGGTCTCATAGAGGCCATGTAAAATAGTATTGTAAATGTAACATCGAGCAGTGTCTTAAGGCTGTAAAACCCAACAAATTTGAAGTGCATCAATGTTTATCCTGTGTTAGCTTTTAGTCAGCAGATATTTGGGAACTTCTTTCTCGGGTATACGTATCCTGACTATGCCTGAATGTTATCAAAGCATTCCTCCTGCATGGGGGATTATCCTTGGGTTTCATTTGATGTATAAACAATATATAAAATATTGCTAATAGACACAGAAATTTTGCAAGTGGACCTGTTAAGAAAAAAGCCTCCCTGAAGACACTGACCCACAGTTTCTTAGTCTGACAATTCTCTAATACCATCTGCTAGAAATAGGCACTTCCCTATGCACCGCTGAATTAAAAGTCCTTTAAAATAGAATCAATCTGAGGAAGTTTAGGACTATAATTAAACTCTATGCCCTTCCAATTATTCCTTTTAGGTTAATCAAGTGCTGGAAGTGTTAGCAACAGACGAAGTAATGGGCTGCCCTTTACAGCTTAGACTTTTATAAATGACTAGTGACTTTATATCTTGCTGAAGTAACAACACTTCGTTGCCATATAACTCTAAAGTAGAACACATAAGGCCCATTTGTTTTTAAAACAAAAATTATAAAGTGAATTTATTAATCAGTAACTTTGAATAATTAATAGTTTCTAGTTTTATAGCTGTGCATCCTATAGTTTGGAAAAATAAATATGAAAAACCCTAATATTAATGTTAGGTTGCATGAACATAAAAGGAAATTAATGATTAGATTGTTTTTCTCAGCAAATTATCTTCAGGAATCTAAATTGTAATCTTAACGATTGCAGTAGTGAAGCTGAATATTCCAGTTTATATACATAGAAACAACTCTAAACCCAGGTTTTCTAAATAAATCCAAATTAGAGTTCCCAAAATTGTTTTGTTATTTTCCTGATTAAATTCTAATAATTTTTTATGTATTGGAGACATTCCCAAAGTCTGATGCTGTGATCATGTTTCACTGTCATTGTTTATACCTTATATGAAGTCTCCACTCAAAACCCTTGGATGTTCCATAACCATTCTGAAGACCAACATGAAAGTGGCTGGCTTTCCAGTAGGATATATGTATAGATATGCTTATTTCCTCAGTTGTATGTAATTTAGCTGTTCAGAAAATAGTTACTCATACAAACTCTAAAGTTGCTTTTATGGATCTCCCCTGGAATTTTATTAGAAGCTAAAGAGCTCATTTTGATATTTTACAAAGTAAATTATTCAATTTCATTGGTTTCAAAAATTAGTAGGTATTAAAAAGAGATTGTTTCAGAATCAACTGACTAATGTAATTTGACATTATAATCCTTCAGATTATTTAACTGTTTAGATTATTCCAGTATTAACTTCAGAAGTTTTGGATAAGGAAGAATTTTGAAAGTTTCAAGAAGTTTTTTTGCTTGAGAAATTATATCCTTACCCACCTCTGTTTGTAAATTTTACTAATTATGAGTTCCTAGCTATACTCAAATTATGTCACTCATATTTGTGCCACGTTTACAACGTACATTCATTCTTTTTCATTTGCCATGCTTTTTCAAAAAAGGACGTAAATGGAAAGCCTAAGAGATATGTCTAGAGTCCAAGATTTATTAAAGTTTATGAGCTATATTCAGAAAATATGCTATAACAAATACTTACTTCTAAGCAGGTACTTACAGTTTGATGAATGGAAGCATTTGCTTACATTATGACATGTTGAATGAAAACTAAGGAACTCAAAGGCAGGGGAAATTCCATGTATTTATTTTAATATATTAAAAACTTTACTATTAAAATTGAGTGTCTGAACTGGGATACTTTTCATCTCTTGCTTTCATATTGAGGGAACTTGTCCTTTCTCACAGGCTCCCCAACTGACCAGGATAACTAAGTCATTTTCCTCTAGTTTCTTATGCTTTCCTGCAGTAGACACAAACTCCACTATGAAGAAGTTAAAATTACTTTTATTAATCATTCAGTGTAACATTCATTGGCCTGACTCAAGTAAGATGCTGTCAAACTTGACCATGTCACAAAGCTTTCAGCAGTCAAATCACCAGAAATTTTTCAAAATGTTGCTAAAGCTTTTTTGCTAAAATTTCAATTTCAGTATAGAAAGGCTGTATTTTTTTTTATTTCTTATTCCCTGAAAGAACATCCTTCTGAAATTTGGCTCTGAACCCATTGCTGTCCAAAAGCTGCTGGTGGCATAATAAAATGATGCTGCTGCTGGCAAGTCCTTGACCTTGGTGGGTGGTTTTCAGGACTGTTGGAGGTTCACTGCTGGAAATGCATTTTCTGGGGAGAAAAAAGAAAGAAGGGAAGGAAGGAAAGAATTGGTGTTGTGAAGTTATTTCTCATGATTGTTTAAAACTGATAGTCCAAGACAATGTCGCTTATCAAAAGCTGATAAAAAGGCCTTAAATATATTTTGCTAACAGTTTTTGTCCAGCTGAGATATCTGTTTGCAGAAGATAAAAGTAATATTTAAAGTTTGCTGTCTCATATCCTCTGCCATGTGCAGAACTTAATAACTCAGTTTGTCAATGTAGTGTGGCAGAAACAGTGTCTTTATTAACCATGTAGTTATCTCCTGAATAATACAAGCTATTCATCCAGTGGTATTCCTAGCTCTGACATTGTGAATCGTAGTACAATATGTCAACTACACAGCCTCAGATGCCAGACTGATGGTTTTCTTTAAGCATGTGAGTAAAAGCTGCTCTGTACAGGATGGGTTATAGGTCAAGCCTAATCAGCTAGCAGAAATTTTTGATTCTTCCTCAGTTTTCATAGCCAACAGGGGCAAATGCCTGTTATATTTGCCAAAATCTTTTTTCCAAATCAGAGCAAAATGCTTTTTTATTATTCAGACCTACTTACAAGCTATTGTTAAATATGTAATAGAGGATCTTACAAAATTCTGCACTAAAACAACTAGCATGCTATTATGGTAATCTGAGAATAGAAGATATTTTAAAACAGAAGAGCTCTTTTTTTTTTCCCCTCTTATAAGCCTTGCCAAAAACCAACCACTGCATTGAAATATGAGACACTAGTGAATTAGCTCAGCTGGCTCATCTAATACAGTGAAGTTTTGAACAAAGGGAACTATGGCTATAAAAATATCGTGGCTATAGTAGAAGATCAAGTTAGCTCTTTCTTACATGAATTTTATTTCTCTCTGCAGGAAACAAACAAAGCAAATTCATGAACAGCTGAAAGAAACACAGAATAGGAAAACCTACAGCCTAAATGCTTCCAGCATGATGGCAAAGTCGGAGTGTATGGCACAAAGCCAAGTCCAGCTGCAAAATGTAAGTAATGCTGCCAGCTACAGCACTTAATAGCCTGGCTGAGTTCCTGCTGCTGATGGCAGCACATCCTCATGCTGCTATTAGCATCTGAGCAACGGGAACAAGAATTCTCACCTCTTTCATAAAATGCTTTCTATCAGGCCTGTTAATGGAAAGCAGGGATTTTTTTCTGAAGTTGTTTCAATGGATTCTGGTACATTTCGTTCATGTAGTAGTAGACTTTGCTGAGCTTTCCACTGCATCTAGCAGTGGAAATTACTAATATAGTTTCCTTCAATACTGTAGCTCATATATGTTTGTTATAGGTGAAGTGGGGTCCTTGATCTTAAGCGATGTCAGGTCTTCCAATAATAAATGAACCTGCATGAAAAAATGTAGGGATTTGTCACAGCTAATTCAGAGTAAATTCAAAATCTGGAACTAAGTTTACACATATAAACTAGTGCCCAAGGGAAGACCATGCAGATGGTCTCGTTTATCTGGGTCTTTAGTTAAAGGCAGTTTAGATAACAGAAATAAATTCATTTGTTCAAAGTAAATCTGAAATTTATTTAGTCATTTTCTGTATGTAGTTATATGTAAGTTAATACAGTCTCACAATCCTGAAGTGCACAGAGCATATTTGAAATAAGGAGCTTGAAGATAACTGATTTATTTAGCCCTGGATGCAAGGTATTTTCCAATAAATGTCATCATCTCCCTTGATCACACACTAAATTAATACTGTCTTACTTTGAACAAAGTCTTTGGAAGAACTGAGAAGGATCCTGGTAGCAATATAATAGTAAAATATAACAGATGTGTTAAAGCCTTTCTAAATTATTAACTCCTTTTTTTTTTTTTAAGTGTCTTAGCATTGCTCAAAGGAATGACTACCTTATTTGCCAGATTCCATCAAAATAGTGGGAGTTTAGCAAAAGTGAGCTCTCATGCCCACTAACTCCTAGTTTACATCCAATTAAGTAAGAGATAAGTATGAACCCTTTTAACCGATTTAGAGTAAGTAGAACTTCCCTGATGTGACAGAGGAGTTGTCAGAGCATTGCTTGTGTTCACTTTTAAGTTGTGTTTTGTAGTAATACCATTGTGGTACTCCTGTATATACTCACGATATGCTTCGAAATGCAAGAAAAATATGCTATTTCAAGAAGGAAGATAGCTTCACTAAATTGACATAATCACAGTTTGGGGAACCTTTTGCAATTTTTTTATTTCACTTTCAGTTCATTCAGTCATATATTATTTCTAGCCCCTAAAAAAAAAAAGCTGTTGGGAGTGTTGTTTGGTTGTAATGATGACAACAATAGGTAAAGTTCATGATCCTTTTGTTCTATCATATAAAGTAAGCGTTGGTTAACACTAAGAAAATGTTCTTTGCCTTTTTTTCACTGTAATTCAGTGCTATATTTTGTCAACCCATCATTTCCATGAACTGTTTGATGTCTCCTGAGCAGCTAACAAACACATCAATAACCTTTATTTCAGTTTTTTTCTTTTGCTCTAGCATTAGCCATAATGACTGAAGTAGCAGTTTGTGGATTCTGGACATAAGGGATTGAAAGCCACCATTATATTTATTATTTTAATCCAAATTTGCTTTTCAGTTCTTAATGCTGTTCAGACTGTCATTTTCAGTGCTGGTAATTAACACACCATTTTCTTGTTCTTGTGGCTGCTTGCCACTGTTTTCTCCTTGCCATTAATGCATTCTCCCTTTGGGAACAAAGATACTAAGGAAGAAAAACAGAATGACCTTGTGCAGGATATAGCATAACAGTACAGGGTAATAATGGTTTCTATTGTTAGGAAGATTTTAGTGCAGGAATTCATGCAGGCAGCTCATGAAATATTTACAAAACCTGGCAGCTTGGAGGAGAAAAAAAGGGCAGGGGTATGGTGAGGCAGCAGAAAAAAGAACTTTGAAAAGGTATTTCATAGGAATGGCTGAGTGACTCCCCCTTGGAGACCAGAGATCTGCCCTGGGTGTATCTGCTGGGTGGGAAAGGACCAGGCAGCAGCGTGGGGCACAGAGCTCTCCTGTGGCTCTGCTCCCTTCTGTTGGTTGCAGCCTGGGTGTGATCTCTGCCATTCCAATCTGCAGCTGCCAACACAGGGGTCTGGGGAGAAATCTTAGTTCTCTTCGTTTCCAGGAGCTAATAGATAAATAAATTAAGACAGTTATTTTCTGGAGATTACTCCCCCAGTCTGGCATTTTGGTTTATGTAATCCTGGAAGCTGTTTCTTTTCCCACGCCACGTGCTCCTCTTAGAAGCAAGAGAGTTTTCCCATTTATGTCACCTTTGTGTCTTTCCCTAGAAGATTTTCCTGTATTTTTCTCTTGTCTGTTTTGAATAGACCTGGTGATGTTTTCGGGTTTTTCACACAGCTCTTTCTTCTTCTATAGAGAAGAATACTTTTGTGTAGACCTGAGAACAGTTGCATAAGGATTCTTATTCTTTATGACTATTGTGAAGGAGCCATCACCTTTTGACTCAGAGGTTGCTATATTTAGTAAAGGATCCATCTATCTTTCCGAATATTGTGTTGTTCTAGAAAGAGGTTTAACTTATTTCCCAAGACCCAGGGTACAGCAGAGAGTGTTTCAAGTGGTTTGTGGCTGTAAAGAGCTTGACCAGTCTCTTCTTCCCACACTCAAATGCATTGTATCTCCTCCACTCCCTCCCTCTGCTCAGTTTTGATGCTGAGAAGTGAAATAAAGGGTCAGATTTTGTCAGGACAGTTGTGTTCTGTCTGAACTCCTGCTGCTCGTTGTGGTAATTGTGGTAATTGTGCTCACCTGCAACAAGTCTGTTTCTCTCCATGGCAATATCATTACTTTTGTAGACGTACAAATTAGATGAAAAATACTGTGTACTATAATCAGGGTTCATAAATAACTGTTTGAACACAGCTCTTAGGATTTCCTGAATCTCCTTCAAGTCCACTGCTTTTCCCAAATATTCTGGCAGCAACACACTTAATTTCTTGCTAGGTTGTTCTTGCTAGGCTTTCTAGCCTCTTGGATTTAGAGACTAATGCACTGGTAATCTTGCTATAATTCTTCAGCCAGGAAGAGATAGATGGGCCAGTTTTTAATTCAGGATCTTTGAGGTACACAGGAGATTCAGATTTATTTCACCTAGTGCATGAAACTGAGGTCTTCCAAGTGTTATGTACCCCTTCCCAAAGAGATTATACTCTATCCAAAAGAGATTTAAAGACTCTGCTCCAGGGTGCTGCAGCAGTTTGATCTCCTCATAAGCAAAAAGAAGAAAATTGTCATTCTCAGCTTCCCCCCTTCCTTACAAAGACAAGTCCTCGGTGCACCCTCACACAACGTGCAGGGGCAGGAGGAGGTGAGGTGGCTCCTGATTTCTACCTCCTTTTTCCACCTTGAGTAGAGAGTTTCTTTAAATTCTCACAACTTGACAAATGTGTCATGGGGGTAAAAAAAAAAGGGGGGTGAAACCATACCGTTCCTTTAGTGTTTCTGAGAATTGTCACGGCTGTTTAAAGTGATCTTTTTCACCTTTGTGGTTTTTAATACCTTCTCCCGTGATACCAAGTGGATCTATTAATCCCCCATCGCTTTCCTTCTGAGGTGGCTAATATGCTTTTCATGCTGTACTGTGTGGTTTCACTTTTCACTACATTTGTTTTTAATAGCATGCAGTCACTAGCTCCAGGTTTTTGATATTCTTATAATGAGAGGCTAAAATATGCTCTTTATATGTCTTGTTGCTTTTTGTTGATAGTAGTAGGAAATAAGTTATTTTTGGTCACTGCAATAGACATGCAATTACTGTGTTGCACCATTCTGTTGCAATTCTATTGAGCAACAGATACACTTAAATCTTTTAAAGGATTAGTCTGTTGTTTTACCTGAATTATGATTTGGTTTATCAGCCAAGATTGAGAGCAAATTTCCCATTTCTATATCTCATGACTACTTAGGAAACACTGCCAGAATAGACAAACCTGAGTTTATTGTCCTCTGTCTAGAGGTAGTGTTGGCAACAAAACATACAGAGCATATGGGAACAGCTGTAAGGATGTTAAATGTACCCCCTGATGGGCTTTTGTGCAAGATCAGCCTATCCAGGAATATCACTGGCTCTTTTTCTCCTTGAGGTGACCTCTCTGAATGTAATTTAAAGCTGACCCTTCTGCCTTATCAGTTGTTTTTGAAATGGGATCCCCACATCACCTCTCTTGCATGACTTTCTGGACCTTTTATTCTTACTATTTTGGGAAAATCATTGAGGGGGGAGAGCTAAGTAAAGCCAGGGAGAGGGATGGGTGTTTTGATTTGCATAACATTAGGACAACAGTGTCAAGCTGTTCTGTAGCATTCCAGTGGCATTTGTTATCCAAGAATCCCACATTTTAGAAGGAGGAATACAAAGCATGGAGCAGAGGAATTATGTGCTCACAGTAATACAGTAGGTCAGTGGCAGAGGCTTCTTTCCTGGCTCAGGCTGCCTTCACAGATTCACTTAGCATTAAGTAGCAGGGGGTGGAATTTTATTGTGAAAATATTCAGTAATTGTACATAATAGATGATTTTCTCCATGAAACCATGAAAAATGGAAAATTTGCAAAATACTTTTTTTAAGAGCTATCATTATTCTTTAATTTATTTAGCCATATGCACCAGTGTTTTTCAGTAATTGCTCAAACAAGCACAGATAATTAACCAAGAAGACAATAAAACCATTAAAAAAACCAAATAAACCAAATAAAACCAGATAAGCTTTCAATGATGCTGGAAACAGCCCTTTGAAAGTGTTTCACAGCTTATTCTCCATCATGGCTGATTATTCAGGAGCTCAGAACAGTCAGAGGTCTCCACAGAGCTCAGCCCAGGTGAGAACTGAGCTGTGGAAGCAGCAGGATGAGCTCTGCTGGGATATGTCTGGGGAATAATCCTATCCTATACTTTTGGGGGCATTATCTGATACTGTTGTAAACTCTTCACAAAAATATGAAGGTATTTTTCTCCAGAAGGGATGTGGCACTTAAAACTAAGCTTAAGAGGGATTAACCCAACTGTGTTTAAACCTATTAAAATGTACAAATAATGTGATACATCCAAATATGTTCAATTACGTTGTTCAAATTCTCTGTATATTCACACCCTCAACTTAAACTGTGATTCATATTTTCGTTGTAATGAATGTTATGGCTGTTACAGTAACTGTGTAATAACTGGTGTATCTGAAAATGGCATAAATCTTTGGTTAGGGGCAAAAAATACCTTGAAAAAAATGTGCCAGAGTGGTTCTTGGTGTTGGACCTTCAGTACAATTTGCTAATCAGCATCAGAGCAGCTTCTGGGGTCCTGGTTTTCCTCAGTTGTGATGAGGAAAAACTCTGTGTACCACTGCTCCAGCCCACATCCACCTTAAATGTGGATGTAGTGAAAGGCACAGCTTATCTCTAATTGCTCTTCATAATTCACTTCATACTCATGGTCTTATAAGGCATTCAGACCTTCAATTTTTTTTCATGAACAAACTGAAAAAAGAACAGAAGTAGCTTCTTGGTACTAGCAGCCCATTCTTAACATAGCTCAAATTGATTTATTCAGGTCACAAATCAAAGCCAGTTTCATTTCTGCAGCTGGCAGGATAACTATTAAAGTTTAAAGCCTTCACAGACCTTAAAAGTCATACTTCTGTCTGAATATTTTATCTACAACATTTACAAGTGACAACTAAGATCATGGTAACTGAAAGAAATGGGAGTGTAATATGCTGCTTCTTATTACTTCAGTTGTGTTTACTTTATGTGTGCGGCAACATTTTGCACATTGCTGCTCTCATACCTTTGCCTTCATGTATGTAAGCAGTGATTTTGGCCCCAGTTATGTGGATATTTCAACAGAAAGATGGAGAAGACCATTGGAGAAAAGTGTGAAGGTCTGTTACTTTATCCACAGAAATCGGTCATAAGAAGTCTGAGTAGGTGGACTAAACATACATGTAACCCATTTTTAAAGGAGAATAATCTTCTGTGACTTTCCTTCTTTTATCTTGCTGAAGTCTACAAAATTGTAGATAAGTGGGAATCAGATAATTCTGTATTTTTAAGGAGTTATTTGTCTTTTGTTAGACAAAATAATTATGAAGAACTGTATTTTGAAAGAATTCTTACTACCTTCTCCATGAATTTTTGGGCTATTGTGTATGCCATAATATGGCATTTTTTACCACTGCAATTTTTTCCATTATTTTGACTACTTTAATTTGTATTTCTTTATAAAATATGTAATCATGTAATAGCTTCCTCAATACCAATTTATTGTGAAGATAACATGGATATCTAGGTATCTGAAAATACAATCTCAGTACAGAAAGGAAAGCAGAGCAATTAGTTTTAGTGCAGGTCTTTGTAATGCAGTGTAAAAAATCTGCAGAGTGATGTGTTTTTAATACCTAAATGGAAATGTGGGTTAACCTCTCATATCTCTGAGATATTGCCCAGTAACCACTAAGAACATGAATTCTACTTACAAGCCCAAGTGCAGCTTTTTCTATACTTTTACTTTCTGGCTCCATTTAGGATGAGACTCTTCTTCTTTTTTTTTCTTTCTTTTTCTTTTTTTTTTTTTTTTTTCTATACTTTTACTTTCTGGCTCCATTTAGGATGAGACTCTTCTTCTTTTTTTTTCTTTCTTTTTCTTTTTTTTTTTTTTTTATGAAATTTCAGTTGAATCACAAAGCAAGAAGAAAAAAAATCTGTTCTTGTTCATGTCTGGTGTCTGCTTTGCAGACCTCTGTGTCTCAGTATGTGCCCAGAGACTGCCCTACGCCTACACCTGTCACAGGAAGAATTATGTTTACAGTGTTCTTACTAGCACAGATACTCCCAGGTCAAAAGCTTCAGACCTGTTCAGAAGAGATATCTGGCTCTGCAGATAGGATTCAAATATTTTTCATGTTTATCTGATGACACAAATGCTGTTTCAGTTTAGTTTTCATCGTCGTACATGCTGATGAATGCAGTGTTTGACTGAAATCACCAAAGGACCCAAGAAGTTGCTGACTGTCCTCCGAGATGTGTTTTGTGATCTCAGTCTCTGCGTGGAGAAGCACAGAAACAGGCGTTTAGTCAAAGGGATCAGTGTTCCTTATCATTATGGGCAGATCAGTCCGTAATTTTGCTGCTAATGCAGATATCAGCATTTTGATGTGGAGAACGTAATGGGGATAACGAGTACTGGTACTTTCTGCTGTGTAAACAGTACTGAATGAATGTATTACTTTCAATCTCTAATTTTGATTTAAAATTGCATTAGAGCACTTCTTACCCCATTCTAATATGAATTCAGATGGAATAGCATCAACAGTGTGCTTTGTCTTTTGAGTATTAATTAAGTTTATTCTCTCTGCTACAGTATTCAAAACCAGACAGGCATCCGGGGCCTATTCTGCACAAGGTTATGGAGTCTAGTTTTTCAGGCCCTCAGTCTTTCCCAGAGGCCTTGTCTCCTGACAGAGGAACTCAGCCCATCAAGCAACACAGGTGAGCAAATGGCTGTCTGGTGAGAGATTTGCTGGCTACCGAGGGATGTCACTGAGCTGGTGGTACGTGTGCAGGATTGTTGTGTGCTGGAACTGGGGGAGATGCTGACTGGTACGGTACCAGCAGAGCCTCAGCCCACTTATTAAGCAGATGTCCAAGCATTTTCATAGCTGCAGACATAAAAGGTAATAGCAATGCTTACTAACTTCATCTATGTTTTGTGAAAGTCCTGGAGGAAGCATTTAAAGACACTATTGGAGCTGCAGGCACAGACCAGTGAATGAAACAGCTGTAGTATGAGAAACCATTAGAAACAAGACTTTCTTTATCAATGTTTGTGAAGTTAATGGCTCATTTGCTGCAGAAAGACTTGGTTCTAAACTTCTAGCCTTTTTTACTATTTTTTTTCAACAAATAATACTTGAAATGAATAATAGCTTATTTATGAAAACATGGTGGCCTTTGAAAACTAGGCTTAAAAAAGTTTGAATGATTGTTTCTAAGAGGAAGAAAAAGAGGAATGTCACCCACCTCTGCATAGCATTCAGATGAGAATTATCCTTATAGCCTTTTTGGATGAGAAGGAGTGCAGGTGCTTCACTGCAGAAACCAAACTGGTGTCTGGTATAAGCAGTAATGTTGGTCAGATGGCAATGGTAACATCTGGTCCGGTGCACAGAGAGAGAGAAAAAAGGCTGCAAAAAAATGAGTCTGGAATTTTTTCAGCTAGATAATCTGGAGGGAAAGACTTGTTTATTAAAAGAATAATTTTTTAAAATTATTTCAAAAAAAAAAGGCTCAGATTGCATGAGGATATGATCTGGCTAGTATATGCTGCATTTTTCATTGCAGTGTCCCAAACAGCTACATGTTCTTTTTCATTTGAATGAATAATTTGCCTAACCTACAAAGTGCAGTATGTGAGCCAGAAAGGGATATTTAGGTCCTGTCTGCTTTTACCTTACTTAAGCCTTTAATTTGGCATGAAAAAATAATGCCAACTGTCATGTCAGATCCATTTCTTAGGTCTTATTCCTTATTACACAGAGATTTTCCAAATATGCTTAATAATTTTATTTAACATAGATATGAACTATGGGACTGTGGCCTAGAATGCTTTCCACAGAAGTTCTGAGTAGAATTTTATCGCCGTTTAGTCACAAGGTGAAGCTTAGAAAAAACACAGTGATGTTCCCTTACCTTTAATAGTATGATGGCAATATCCAAGTTTGATATGTCTTTACTTCCGAACTAATTTAAGAAGTGGAATGACTAGTTAATTTATAAAAAAAATCTTTTCCAGTTTTATAATTTAAGATTTATTATAAAAGGCCCTTGCTTTATGAAACATGCAACAGACTTGAACATCTAAGACTTATAAGATTGTCTTTAATTTATGCACCATGTGACAGCTTCCTATTTTAGTTTCTAAATATTGTTCAGTATGGACAAATGGTCAGTGTGGCCAAATGAGGAAACTTTTTTAACAGGATTATGTTTTATCCTAAATATCCCTTCATTCCATTCCAGACGTGGCACGAGCCTGGAAAAATTATAACAGCTCTGCAGGTTCTCTCTTTTATGCTGTCATTAAATTACATTGTTGTTTTATTTCTGCTTGCTAAGAAAATATTTTGTTCTGCATCCAGACCTCTTTTCTCTGCTGGTGTTTTCAAGGACACAAATGGTAGGTTATCATTTCCTAAAATCAGGAGATGGCTGTTTCCAGTTCCTAAAACTAATACATTTTTTGCCTGATAGTAAGACTATCGACATAGGGAATCACTTGGAGTTGCTGAAATGTGACTGACAGAAATAATTTTTCATTCAGATTAGTAGATAACAGCAATTTTCCATCTCTACCAACCTCAGCTGCATGCAAAGAATTAATGCAGAGGTTAAATTGAAAACTGAAATTTAATCTCCAAAAATATTTTCCCTGTATTATTATTAACCTCCTAAAATATTTTGCCTGTATTATGCACTGATATAACAGTAGAAGAATGTTACATCGTCTGCTTGCATATGTAAAATAACTCTTCATACTGTCAGAATTCAAAATTAACAAGTGTGTTTAATCAGTAAACTTCCTGTAAAGTGTACAATTTGCTCAAAAATTCATCTTGGATTATCTGTTGATTTAGGTAAGAAGAAAACCCATACTGTCTTATTTTCTAATAGATAGAAACAAATTAGAGTTTTGTGAATTATGGGATTGAGTTGGGATCCCTTTGAATAGCAGTTTTCTTCGTAATTAGTCATCCTGACTTTCATTCATTGATTCAGTCATCATTGATTTTAGAGGGATTCATTTCAGAGAATAACATGATGAAAGCCAAATGCAGATGCTTTCAGCCTGGAGTGGTTGTATTGTCTTACAAAAACACCAAAATAGGATAAACTTACTCTAAAATTAAAAATAATTTGTGTTTTCATTTTTAATGAACTTTTAACACCACAAAAACCATGGTAAAAAGAATTTTTTTTCATTTGGTAAGGATTTTATCTATATGCTTCCAATATAATGGATTCAGTTTAAACTAAAGAGTAAATTTAACTTATTCTGTAAATAAGGCTGTTGGATTTCAAAGAAGTAGTAATGATAAACTAAAGCAACTAAGAATGAAAAGGCAGAGGAAGCCTGAAAAGAAGAAAGCATAAGGAATATGGTATTTTCCCAAAGAAAGAACATAGTTTTCTGCAGAAATTTACTAAAAGTAATGTCTAAAAGGAATAGGGTGTATGGAAAGAAACAAACCGTATCACAGAGGGCAAGAAGTCATGCTTGAAGTGAACATTTCCAGGACTCATTGAGAGTTAAGAATTAGTGGCAATACTGAAAGCAATCAATTGTTCCTGCTGTGAATTAAAAAAAAAACAAACCCACAAAAAACCCCCACATTACTGTACAGGAAAAAGGAAAGCTGATGGTGGGACAAAAATAATATATGAAGCTGTTAGGGCAATCCTGAATTAATATATTTCATTTTTTTTTAAGTTAGAATGGTTATTTGAAGACAGAGGCAGAATGGGAACAGAATCAAATGTATGAAAATAGACATTACTGCAGTCAAAGTGGAAGTAAAATGTGGAAATCAAAGCTTTCAAGTCAAGTTGGTTTGGTTAATCCTGATCAAAGAAATCTGGAAGGAGAACCAGCTCATGAAATTTCAAATCTAGTAGCAAAATCTGTAAAAATGGAAGCTGTAACATATGATGATGGAATAGCAAGTGTCAAATATTTAGGAGTATGGAAAATTTATTGAAGTAACTGAGGGCCAATTATGTTGAATTAGACTAGTCAAGGCTTTAGGACAAATGTGGGGGAAGCAGATTCCCGGAGTAGATATAAAAGAGGCAGAAAAATATTTACTAGTTTACCAGCAGCAGCTCCTGCAACACATCACTGATGACTTTCTTTGTATTTGATGTAGGTGAGCTCGATCTCCACGCAGCCTCAGTCACTCTTGTCACATGTGTCTAATGCCTTCAATGGGAGAAAGCAGGGAGAGACAGAAAAACTATAATTGGATACACAGAGGGAGATAGTGAGGAGTTATGTTGAAAAGGTAAGTGCTGGGCTGAAGACAGTCAACAGTGGAGCACTAGTGGAGCACTCAAGGAACTAGTTAATGTTGGGGGCAAACTTTGTTTAATGTTTTTGTGCATGACTTTGGCACAAAAAGAATTGGAACATCCTGAAAAAATTAGTTAAGAATCACAGACTCAGTACAGATAAAGATTTAGATATAAGGAGTGAATGGCATAACTTTAAAGTATGGCTAACGGGTGGATTGAAGTTCAGCTGTACTAAATACAAGGTCAGGCATTTGGGAACTGGTAATAAAATTTAAGAAACAAATGAGGTAGAAAGGTTTCAGTATATACTACTTGGTTAAAGGATAACTAAGTCACGAAGTGATGCAGCTGTGCAAAAGGTATATGGGATGAGAGGAAGTATTAATTACAGCATCTTCGTCAGAAAGTCAGAAAGATTAATACCACTTCATGAGATACTGTTGTCACTTCATTTGTATATAGTATGTATATGTACCACTATTATCTCACCTGGTTAAAATGGCCCCCTGATTGTTATGGACTCAAATTGCATTCATGAGCTAATATGAGGAGTCAGTGATCCATGTTCTATGGGAAGTGTTAGACTGACACTGTCTTGTGTCAGTATTCAATTCAGGAGACTGGAAAGAGTGTGTGACTGCTGCTTATAAATACATCTCAAAAAGGATAACAAGGAGTTAAAGACCTATTCAAAGTGAAGGAGTATGATGGCACATTCGTCAGAAATAACTGTAAACTAAAAAGAAGTTTTAAAGTTTTCAATATAGAACAACTTCCTGTGGTGGTATCCCGCATATCATTGTAGTTTTAGGATGGAGGTTGATCAGTGCACTACAGGGAGTATATGATGAAGTTATGGCAGATGATAAAACAGTGCCACTGAGGTACCTTGAATGCTCTGTTTTCTTTTCCTGTTGTATCTCTCACAAGGGTGGTGACCAGATGATATTAGGTAGCTTTGAAGGATTTATGTAGAGTTCCAAAGTCCGGAATCAGCCCCTACACATGCTGTTCCTGAATACGAGAATATGTAATGGAATCAACAATGCTTACATTTTAGAAACGAAGAGTAGATTTGTAGATATAGGCTGGCTGCTGGAAAGCATCTCTTTTTAAGGTTTTTCATGTTCTGTTGGCAAATTTACATCTTAATGTGTTCATAATGTGATGTAAAATCAATTGTGTTTAGTAATTAACTAAAAAGTAGTACAAGAAGATTCACAGAGTTGCTGTAAAAACACTGCTGGTCTTCTCTTCATGAACACAGTTAACTGCACTCAGGAGCTGTGTATGCGCCTCGAGAGGAGAATACTCCACCTGCAGGAACAGACTTTGTTCCCACTCTGTTGCTCAACCTAAAAGAAAATTTTCACTGAAAGCAACTTGCAACAATGAATGCAAAGTTCTTAATTAAGTGCGTTTTTCAAACCGTTAATTCATCAGAACTATATTTCACCCTGGTTTATGCATCACTTGTGAAACAGTTCATGCATAGTCTGATTTTTTTTATTCTGGAGTAATTGATTAATAGATTTCAAGGACATATCTGCTCCAGCTTTATGTATTGGTCTAAATTATTGAATGGCTCAGTTATGTGGGCTGATTTCTTTTACCCAATTAGAGTGGAGTGCAGGGAGGAAGAAACCATAATGATGGCTAAAGGACAATAAAGTCCATGAAGAAATCCAAAAGGCATTGTTTGCCTGAGAGGGAGAAAATCTTCATGTGAGTGCTAGAGCAGAAGTCTGAGAGGGACTGTATTGACACTTTTAGAGGAAGATGTTGCAGATGTTCGGATCAGTTTTGTGAGAAAGGAAGAGCTTTGTTATGCTGGAGTTACCTTTTCATAGAACTTTTAACAGAAATTGTTACTATCCTTGGTGCTTGAAGAAATGAGTTATCCTGCAGCTTACAGCTGTGCTGTCTGTATTTCCTGGTCCTTAGTGAATTCATCTTGTCCATGACCACAAATGATTTTCATTCATTTTTCCCCTCTTTTTTTTTTTTTTTTCTGTCAGAAAGGTTGAAAGCATGAGAACCTCCCATTGGTAACAAATTGGTTGCTTCAACACTGTCACTGCTGAAAGCGCTGTGGTTGCAGGACAGTGTTGGCATGTGCCCAGATCCCTTTGATCTGACCAGCACACACACCTTTAACAGCCCGTGGCATGAAGTGCTCCATGGAGCAGTGAGACTTTCAGTGCAAACTGAAGTCCAGATAAGTCATTTATCTGCATCTTTGCTGCAGTTTATAGCTTTTACCTCAGGTATACCTGTATGTGTTGAAATTACGTCTATTACAAATGAGGCGCTTTTGTGAATTTGCATGTGCATATTATTAGATAGGAGACTGTGTGCTCTCATCTAGCAAGGAGGATGCACAAGGGCATCAAATCAACCACAATTAAAAATTTAAAATTTCTAGTTTCAAATATTTGTAATCAGTCTAAAGTCTGATAATCAGTTTTTTTACTTTTGTAGAACATTGATGAATATGCTTCAGTAAGTAAACAACCCTGACTTTCCTTATCCATTACAAATTATTCATTCAGCTGCATCTTTTGAGATCCTCTGCTGTAATAATCTGAGACTCTCCTGAGCAGAATTGGTCAATTATTTTGTGTTGTGGTGGTGTTACTTTACAGAATATGAACTGTAACTCACAACTTGAACTCAGCCTTCAGAACTGAAAGACCAGTATTTCATTTTTTCAAAGAAGTTTTTCACAGCCTCCTTAGTAGCAAAGGAAAAATATATTTAAGGAAGCAACAAAAACCCCGGAGGGAATGCTATTGCTATGGGTTATTGATCTTTTCAGTTAAAAAGCAATAGAAAAATAAAGGTGTAGAAGAAAACAGAGCCAAGGTGGTGATGGAACACTGCTAGCTTGAGCAGTAGGATAAGAGACCATTGAATTTATTTCTTATTTTAACTTTGGACAGAAAAGGTTGGTTTTAATTTGTCCAAGATCGCACTAGTTAAAAAATGCAAATTATTTTTAAGTCATACTATAATAGGAAAAAAAGAAGCAAACTTATCAAAAGTCTTTTGCATTGCTGAATTTTATCAAAAGTTTGAATTATTCACATAGCCAAAAATAATGACTTGTAAAAGGCATCTACAAAACCTATCTTAAGTTATCATTAAAGATGTAACAGAATATTAGGTAACACATGCATTTCTGAGACCCAGAAGATGCCAAGAGAAGTAGGAGTAGCTGGAAAATGAATACCCAGTCACACCATGCAGTACTGTGACCTGTTAACATTAAGAATAGGTTATACCTTGTCTTAATTCTGTGTTCCCATATTTTTGATTTAGTAAAAGCTAAATTTATGGTTTGCATACCAAAACTGTGGATTCTTGATACCTTTTAATTTCTGCATGAGATGAAAAAAATTCCATTCTCCTTCCAAAACACTAGAAAAATGTTTACAAAAGCAGTTTTCTAAAATAAGTATGAAACTACTACTTGTTTTTATGAAATTCAAGTTTATATTAAATCACATAAAGTAACAACACAGCATTGATCCATGTATACAAACAGGAAAGCAATCTATATATGAAACAAGAATAAAACAATATAGAAATCTTGTTCAAAGTGGAGGAAACTTGTCTTAGATGGCTTCTTCAAGCTGCAGTTCATAAACTTCACTTATATTGCTCACTTACACTTTTTTTTCTCAATTTAATGTTATTATATCAGGAAGCAGCACATTGTAGGCTGTAATGGGCTCTCAGTTTCAGATCTGATTTTTGAATTCAGCTATGGGTATGATGGAGCTGTGCTGTTTGTTTATACTGTCTGAGGAGTAACTCTATGTAGTGGGATTATGATATGCAGCATGGAAAAAAGAAGCATCCTTCATCAAGTGCAAGAAAACATTTAATATACTGGGCAATTATTTTCATTCTGAGAAGAGAGGTGATGTATTAAATACAGCATAAACAGCAGGATTATAGTATTATATTTCCATAGAGAATTTCTACTGCCATCATAGACCCCACAGCAAAGTTATGAGAACAGTAATCCATGTGTTATTAATCCTGAACCTTCACTTTGCAGAATTTTATGCTATTGTGATAATTTTTACTGTACTCTTGGTGTTTTTCCTAGAAGTCTCTCTTCATGCTGCAGCCCAGGACAGAAAAGTGGGATGCTACATCGAAATGCCTTTCGGAGGACTCCTCCCTTGCCTCGGGGTAGGTTCAATGGAATTACAGGACCAGCATATCAACAGCTAGAAGAGTCAAGGATCACAGACCAGGACACAATACCTTGTCACGGGTAAGTAACAGTATAACCGAGCTGAACCTGTTTGTGAGTGGCTGCTGTTGGGAGGTTAATATGCTTTGCCATGTTCCAACTTTGTTGTAGTATACTGTGGACCCAGGTTTCATACTGCTGAAAGCAAAAGAATGTTTTCTGCATACTGGCTCTTTGAAGGTAATATGTTTTTATTTGGCTGGCTGCTTTTTTTAAGCATTTCAAAGGCTGTAGAGAGAGGGATCAGAACAAACTGTAAGTGATTGGCAACATTACTCCTTATAACTGTTTTTTCTAGCAGTGCTATGATGTTCTAGTAATTTATGGATAGCATTTTTTTCTTCCATCAATCAGCACCGGGCAACTAAGAGAATTAAGAAGTTCGACTTTTTTTAATAAATCAATGTGCATTGTGAAGTTTGTTTTCTATAGACTGAAGACCAATCACTTCACATAGGTTTGTCTTTGAAAAACAATTCCACTATTTTTTTTCCTTTTTTAATTCAGTTTGTTAGAACATTGACTGTGAACTCCAACTGTACATAAAGTCTGAATTTCAGAAGTGCTCCTGAGCACCTGCAGTTGCCTTTGAAGTCTTTTGCAATTGCTGAGGTATTTTGTGTAATATTTACATATCCCTATAGATTTCCAAAGACTTTCCAGGATCATTACAAGCATATCATATATATATAAAAGTAGGAGTGATATCTGGAATAGAATGAAAAACCCACTGGTTTCATCTGCACACCTCTAAGTCACAGTGAAGAGTTACACTATGAGAAGGGAGCTGCAGGGTTTTGTGTCATAACTGGCTTTATGAAGTGCAGAACTGAGGTCACCCACGTGTTATATTTTCCTTAAGGACGAAAGGAGCTATTATCACTAACCACTCTGATCTCCTGGGGGATGACAGCCACAACATTGTTACATGTGTGTATGTGGTTGTCATCACGTGTGTAGGCACCCATCCTCCAGTGCTGCCCTTGGCTCGCTGTTTTGTGGATGAATCTACCTAGCAAAGCTAGCCACGGTAATTAGGAAAGACAGACCAAGAGCAGGGCTTACCTGGGAAGGGGGAAAGCAAAGAAGCAAAAGGTTTGTCTATCTGGTGCCTTCTTTTAAATAAGTTTGACTCACGCTTCTGTCATTGTTACTATTTGCTTCTTCTGAGAAAAAAATTGTTTATTACCTCTTGCAGTAAATGTATTATTGTTCATTTGTATGATAATGTGCATGTAATTCCTTGCAAAAATTGCTACTGAAATTGCAACCCTTCCTGAAAGGAACAGGCTGACAGCCTTCCCTGTCCAGCAGACATGTCTTATAACATGGGCTCTGGGGAGTGCTGTAGTCTTCTCCTAGAGAGAAGTGAGATAGAAAACAGCAAAGCTGTGGGTAGTTGTATTTTCTTTTCTCTAGGAAACCAGTGTGTGATATTACAAGTATCGTCTTGTACTGGTCTGTATTTTAAATTTTCAGTTCTGCCAAAGTTTGATATTGGGACGAGCCTGTGATCTTCTGACCTCAGTCTGCTCAGCACTTCATGCCTATTTTGTGCACTAAGGATGTTTAGCATCTAAATATCTGCTGGTTTCACAGTGTTGGTATTCTCATTGGATTTCCAGCCCAAATAAAAAGTTCCCTTGTCCTTTGCAGAAGTTACACTGCTTCCTTTCTTCTCCTTTAAACCTCCATCTTTCCTTATAGGAATGCACAAATCAAAGTGGTTTATCTCCCTAATTCTCTGAGCATTCTGAACTTTGTCCATCAGCAGTTCTGGCTGAAGTTTAGTCAGATTTTGTGTGTTTATACTCGATAGAAAAGAGAATAATTTAGCTGATAGTGTTTGTTCCTCCTGCAAAAGTGCTTCTCTTCACATCCCACACTGAGAGGAAAGCTTTTGCTGCCTTCAAAAAACACCAAATCGTGATATTTGCAACACGATCTAATATTGTTTGAGTCAAATACAGGTAATATCAGTTATTTATTCAGTGTATTACTTGAAAGAGTAGAAAAACCTGCTTGAAATGAGTGGCTTAAAGAAGTCACCTCCGTGTCAGTTACGTCTCAGACAGGTTCCAGTCCCTGAGGGTGTTGTGAGTTGACATGCAGTGAAGTGGACAGTGGTTTGATCTCCAGCGGTCAGGGACCTGGCAGGAAGGGGCAGCAGTAAAAAATTATTATGCTTCTTTCAGTTTCATTTTTTTAATTTAGACTCAAACACTGTATAACATAATTAATTACTGTTGAATATTTATAAATGTTTGCTTTTCTTTTGTTGCGTGGTTTTAGGAGGAGGGTGGAGAGAGAGCTGCACTTTGAAACACATGCAGATGAATTAATTTATTCAGAGAAAATAATTTTTCAGATAAAAAACCAGATATATTTCTTTGGAGGAACTATGGTTCTGGGAAAGTTAATGATAGGAAAATGTAATTAAGGTTCTGCAATTATAGTTCTGAGTCTCAGTCTATTGAAAACAGCAGCAGTCTGGTGTCACACATAGAAGCATGGATCAGTTTGTAATTAACCAAAAGCCGAGTCTCACATGGTTTAGATGTAATACCCCTTCCAGTTTAATACCTCACCTGTTGCATACAGTGTATGCACTTTAATTCAACCTCCGTCCCTCTTTGTAAGCCCTGTGAGCACAAGGCAGAAACATGTAATTCTGGCATAAAGTTGGTATGTTTAGCTGTATTTCAAAAAATATTATAGAAATATGCCAGGCATTGCGTTACATGTTACTGCTGCTGCCAGTTAGTTTTCAAAATACAAGGAATAATTGAATCTCTGTTATAGAACTGGCAAATGTTACTGTTTTCTCACCAAATCCATTTTAATTCAATCTTTTCTTGTTTTTGCTTATATATCATCCATATAAAACATCCATTGCATGTGAAATTCATTAAAAACATTCACTCCCTTTGTTTTCAGGGTGCAGCCCAGAATATATTTAGGGCCTGAATTACCAAAAAAGGGACTAATGCAACTGATGCGATCTCTCCAGCTATAGTCGTTTGAACAATTATATATAAGCAAAGGAAACAAGAATGGGCACAACCCAAAGGTCTGCACTGTTTTGTTTTCATTTATTTTTTTTTAATTGTCCTCCCTCAGGAATAATATCCCCAATTAGTATTTCATTCATGAGTCTTGAGAAGTGTTCTAAAAAGCTCCTCCATGAATGGCTGCAGGTGTGTCTAAGCACAGTGCAAATGTAATTAACCAAAGCTGGCTCAGATATAATATGTAGCTGCATCTGTATAGCGTGGACAGGAAATTCTAGCACATATCCCAAAAGGCTGCTTGCTCTATTATTCCCTGGAGTCCTACTTCCCAAAGCACTGTCTCTTTCCATCACATATAGCAGCAAAGTTCACAACACCTCCTCCTTATCACAGAGCTCCCAGATGCATGTTCTGCTTTTTTGGAGATGCCTGGAGACCTCTGTACAGACCTTCACGTGTGCACACATACAGGTTAACGTGTCAGGCACTTGTACAAAGGCAGTGCCACCACAGACGAGTTAATTACAGGTCAGTGGCACTCTGTTGGAAATGAGCCTGAAGGTACCTCCTGCTGTCTCCTGTCTGACACCTCACAGGGAGGATGGGCTAAAGGAAGCCTTTCCAGTTAATTCCCATTATATGCTAATGCTGCACTATGGCTGTTTCACGGGATTCAGTTTCTTTTCATTAGCTCTTTTTCTGCCCATACCAAAAAGCAGCGAGGTACATATGAGTAGAGGGATATCCCTAGTGAGGTCCAGCAGGATTTTCAAAATAATACCCTTGAAGTCAGAGCACTTGCCTCCACACCAGGTCTAAATGTTGCTGTCCTCATCCATGGATAAAACATGTTAGATTTACCATTAGCTTGCCTTATTAAATAGTGATAAGCTGATTATAAATAAAGTATATTCTGGTACTGAGGTAATGTCTGTGGTCCTTAGTAACATGACTAGTAGATGTAGTAACTCTTAGAGCACCATATTTCTAGTAATACTACTTTCAGATGGGAAACATCTTTTTTTTTTCATTGTTTCCTTTATTTTATATTTAGTATACTTTCCATTTCTTTTATTTTAATTATTTTTTTAAACAAAACATTTCCCTATCAGAATAATGAATTTGGCTTTGAAACAAAATGGAAATGCTGATAAATTTCACCAAGTTGCCTCACAATAAATAAAATCATGCTGTGAGATGTATTAGTGGAAGATAAAGGATTTGGGTTTTTTTAAACAGTATTACAATATCAAGAGAACACAGACATTTGCTCAAGCCTAATATATATTAGCTCTATTTCCAGATGAAATCTAATAAAATAAACCAGACCAACATTATGGTAAAGGCTACTGAAAAAATAGACATTTTTCAGAGGTACACTGCACTTAGATGCTCTGATTGTTTGAAGGGGAGTACAATCATTTCTATGTAAACAAAGGCTACACAGCCATGTGTGTTTAAAGTTCTTTTTATCTGCATCTTTTTTAAGTGTTTTCCTAAAATAACTATTTGACATTGAGAGTTCTGACATTGAAGAAAGTATCAATCCATTTCTGGATTCAGAAATGTAGGAATGGAATGTCAAATTTAATTTCAAAGCAAATTAATAATACATTATAACTTCTGAAATCTTTTAAAAAGGAACTCTCATTACTCTCATGTACTGGTGGGCAAAATGAGACTGAGGGAAAAGCAGTGGTTTGCCACTGGCAGATCTAAGAATCAAAAGCTGTCTCCAGAGCCTATTGTTTTCCCCAGGGCCCCACCACTGCCAAGTGCTCCTAGTGGAAGGTAAAAATCATGTGTATCCTTTCAGCACAGTTCACTAAACCTCAGTGTCCCTGCTGCCAGTTGCATCTGACCACTTGATGTAAAACGAAAACCTTTTTTTACTCTTTCCAGGTATTCATCCAGTGGTTTAAAAACTCCTCAGAATACTTCAATAAATATGCAACTGCCTTCAAGAGAGACAACCCCATATTTTAATAACGTGGATCAGAAGGACTTGGTCGGCTATTCATCTTCAAGGGCCAACTCCGTTCCCATCATCCCGTCTGTGGGCTTGGACGAAGCCTGCATGCAAATGCAAAATGTTTCTGAAGTAACAGGCATCAAATGGTGCAAAAACTCCTATTCCGCTGAACTTGTCAATGTGAGTTCCCCTGTCAGTAATTGTCTTATAGCAGAACAACACGAAGTGAAAATATTGCTAGAAACTGTGCAGGAGCAGATCCGGATTCTGACGGACGCGAGGCGGTCGGAGGACTATGAACTGGCGAGCGTAGACGCAGAGAGCAGCGCGAGTGAAAACACGGCCTTTCTGCCCATGAGCCCCTTGGCCAAGTCGGAGCGAGAGGCGCAATTTGTCTTAAAAAATGAAACGCAAAGAGACTCAGTATTGACCAAGTGACTTTGTGTGGGGGTTGTGGGAGGGGAAATGAGAGATCTGTGCATTCGATGCTTTGCTAAACAGGAAGGGAGGAAGTTAAATACAAATTATTTATATGCATTAATTTAAGAGCATCTACTTAGAAGAAACCAAATAGTCAATCGCCCTCATATCATAGTGTTTTTTAACAAAATATTTTTTTAAGGGAAAAGTTCCAGGAGGGATGAAGCGTGCATCAGGTGCTTTCTAGGCAGGATTACACAGTTTCAGTTACAGAGGATTTTACCATGGTCCCGTTCAACTGTCCAAAGTCTTAGGCTATGCATCTTCTTTTCAGTAAAGTCCAAGACCATTCTTAGATGCATTTGTGGTTTCAGGGCAGTGCTGCAGCGAGCTACTGGCCAGGGATTCAGACCCTGGGGACCAAGTCCCGTGAGCCCAGCACAGGTCCAATCTCCTCTCCCCCTCTCCTCTTGATTCCAGCTTCATACCACAGAAACGGGCACACAGATTCCTACTTCTGAGTTCTGGTACCTGCTGTGGAATGAGGACATCCCTACACTGAACATATTCTTAACTCTTGACCTTAATTTGATGTGTTGGTCAGCCAAGAAAGTCAATGGAATCATTTAGGAGCTTTGGGTTTTGCCAAGCGTGGAGAGGGATTGGGTTCTGTAGAGTTTCAGTGGTCAGAAGCCGGTGGCTGCTCCATCTTCTGAGCTTTGCCTACCAGAGCTGCCTTGGTGGAGAGTTAGGAAGAACAAGGGAAAATGCAGAAGTGTGTATTACAACAGATGTGGTTTTGTTTTCTGATTTGGGGTTTTTTTGAGTGGCACCATAAACTCCGTTGTTCGTTAGCACCCCTAAACATTTCTAAACTTTTACACTTTGAAGGCATTTGTAAGCTCTCAAGGAGCACTTCTTGGTGTCTGTGTATATTTTTTTTTTTAACTTACCTTTTATTATGGGTTGTTCAGAGAAGAGTCAGGGAGATCCAGTATGATCAAAATCTAGCTGATAAGTGTTCACTATGCCTAATTTGTTCCTGCATTCAGTTCTCCAGTTACTTTAATTAATTATGGCTTAGGCTTGTGAACTTTAAAGTTTCAACCCTGCAGATGATTCAGTATGGACAGACCTGCAGGCATGCACAGATCTGAGTCTAATGGGGCTGTATAAGAGCAGATGGTTTCCACCAAGTCACTCCCTGCAGGGGATCAAGGTCTTAGAGAAGAAGTGTCATTACCTGGCTGCTGTATCCCAGTCACATTATAGCACTTTTTCCATTAGCTTTCTTTTTAGTCCCTCTTTCCCCCAGAAATTGTAACAAAATATGCCAATAGTGCAATGAATTGGGTTTGGTGACACATATTACTGGTTTTATTGGTATTAAAATATCTGCTTATTCTTGGGGGGAAAAGTCAACTATAATAAATAATTGCGAAATAGCCTTCCCTGGTTAATGTCAGAAGACTGATTAAAAAAAAACAGTATATACAGAATGTACTTAAACATTCCTTTGCAGCAAATTAATGGTTAAATTTATTAATGTGCCCCAGACTTTCTAGTTCACAAGTCTCAAGACTTCCCAAAATAGCACAATCGATCACGCTGTGCTGTTGTATGTTGAGTCAGAATAAAGCAATATTTTAACCTCTGTCAAGTAAATTTGGAAAATAAATGCTGAAGGTGTATGTCATTTTTTTTGTTAAGGCAGTAAAAAAAAAATTAACAGCATTCAGCAAGTCGTATTTTGGGTTCCTTTTGTGGTTTTGATTTCAGGGTTTCTTTTAAAGATAAAGTTGATGAAATTGTCTTGTTTACAGAACTTTCTATGGCTGTAATCTTTGCTGTGTGTTTTCAGTCGAAATATATTTGAGGGCAAACTGTTGTTCTGTGCCCCAGGATGGAGCCTGTCTTGTTTGGACTCCCTTCTGCAAAGACAGAGCTTTTGTTGTATCAGTGAGGTGGATCACCATGAGGTTTGGTCTCACCCTGATGTTTTTCTGCTGTATGTTGTGGCTGGGCACAGTCTCACTGCGTGAGCTGACTGTGGTGGGTGTGGTCCCAAGCCCACACTAGATAAATCCTCTGAAAGACAGGGTGTATTAGGTGGGGCTCAGCTTTGCATCCCTACAATCATATGACTTTTCTGTTAACAGCATTTACATCCCACCATCTGAGGGCATGAGCAAAGTGAGCTTGCTTCTGCCCATAAGCCCGGTGAACATACCTGTAATATAAAAGCTCTGGTTCAACAATTTGTAAAGTACGATCACTATTAATAAATTTTTCACCATTAATTTCATCGAGATGGTCTCTCTGCTAAAATGTGCAGAATCCTGCCCAAATTGATGTTTCAGAATTAAATCTTTTCAATCCAGACATAAGACCTCCTCACCCCCAAATTCTTCCAAACTTTGCAGTTTCACCTCTGGCAACATAATGGAAACACACAACAAGATTTCAGTTGAAGAAAGAACCATATCATAAGCAATGCCTTTATGGAGTGAATGTGTTCACGCAGCACCCCCGAAAGACCCAGAAAGAGGGGACAAGCAATGTATTTAAGAGAATGAAATGTCTAACTGAATGACAGATGAAGATCTGAAATGGTGAGGATATCTTCGGTTCGTGTTAGAGATGCGATCTTGTACTCAGCAAAGGATGTGTGACTGTTATATGTTAACTGTTCTATTCAGTTTTCAGCATGTTTGAATAGAGAGACGTTAATATTAACCATATGACAGACTAGTGTATTATTTGTTAAGAGTATTACTTCAGATCTTATTGAAACTGTCATTGTTTGCAGAGGAAAACAAAAAGGTTTGAAAACGTCAAACTAGGTAGCCTTAATGTCGTTTGTGTGGTTCTCTAACACAGCTGTTTTCCTCTGTGGACCTTCCTATTTTACAGTGAATGGGACAACATTTTCTCCGAGGTCTGACAACTCATTATGTAAAGGATCCATAAGAAAGTTGTACTGAAACAGCTGAAGTGGTAGGCCAAATATTGCTTTACTTCTGGTCCCATTGAACTCAGTGGATTGGAAGGGCTGTGAATCAGTGCAAAATGCAGTTCATTCCTAAATTTACATCTGTTCCCAGCCTTGGAAACAGTCTGTAATCCGCCTAGAAGAGGCTCTGAATTGAGTCATTTACCTGTAACACAATTAAAAATTTTATCTGGCCTATGAAGTTCCAGGTGTAGCCTGGTGTGAAAATTTGCACATGTAGCATGGCATTCAAGCAAACTGGGCATACTGCTGGCTAAATAAATTGAACTTTCTCTGAACTGAACAGAGAAAACCTGTCTCCCTTCAGCATAATCCTGTGGAAGAGAATTATGGGAGATGTATGTCCTGATATTTTTTTTCTTTTGTTTAGAATTTTTTCAAAAACAATCCAAAATAACTCTAAAAAGAACCCCAGTAGAACAATCCCAGCAGTTGAAATGGGAAATGTAGGTAAGTATGGGCACATTTCTTAGTTTTAATCACTGAAAAACTCTTTGGTACCCCATGACCTAAAGCTTAAATGTTTTAATTTTTGCAGGATCATGTTTAGATCAACAAATGCTTCCATGAAAAAAGAGCTGTTCAGAATGCTTTTGGTTTCTAGCCACCTAGCCATGGTCTCGGCTGGCGTAGTCAATGCATATGACAGGGCATATTAATAGAGGATCACATCCCAAATCTGTACTACTGCAAGTCCAGTGTAGTGTGACAAAGCTTAGTACTCTACCATATGATGTAAGCACTACTGCACTGATTTATGGAGCTACCTGCATTTTGCTTATGAAAATCACAGCAGTGTGTGAACACTCTCAGTGGAATACGGTGCGAGGTCCATTGGCTGAGTGATTGGTGTGTCAAGTCTCTCTGTCACAGGAGCTGAGTGTCCCTGGCCAGGCTCTAACAGCAGTGAACTTACCTCCATGTGGCTAATTCCAAAGTCAGTCATCAGAATTCTGCAGCTCCAGGTTTAAATTTTGAAAAAAGCAATGAGTTGATGGCATGTGGTCATGACCAGGCGTGTGCTCGGTATGCTCCTGAATTGAAATGTTCAGTTAATTCGCGTCTAGTTCTCTTGTAAGTAGGGAGAAAATCTGGATTCCTTTTCCAATTCATCCCCAGCTTCCCTTAGTCTAATTTTGGACATTACTTGAACATTTCTTACTCTTACAAGAAAGTCTGAAAATGAAAACCAAAGAAGAACTCTTTCAGAGTTCTAGCTGCAGTAAGTAAAATTGAAGCTTGAAGGAGCAGACCTGGAATAAAAACTGGTTTTGAAAGTGGTATTAATATCAATTGCCTTTCACTAAAATGGAATTTCCCTGTAAACCGTTTACCACTTGGGAAAAGATAGGCAGAATGAGCTTATATTTATTATGTTGCCATGAATTTAAAATGCTCATCTCCCAACCGATTGGAGAAAAGCAAATATTTAGGATAGATTTTTCAGCTTTTGTGATTTTTTTTTTTTATTATTTTATTTCAGTAGCCCTGCAGGTCAATGATCCATTATCTGTATTGTCTGTCCTCTTTTGTGGTCCAAATGCTGGACTGTTAGATTTCCTTAAAGAGAACAAGATTTTATCTAAATTTTATTTTTAAATTATTCATAGAATAATATATTTCTTTATCTTGCTGAAAACATAAAGTAATGCAAACTTTTTTTTTTTGTGCTGCATTATTACTGAATTTGCAGCAAGATTATGCTGCCTTTGTTTTGATATCTACTCACACGAATACAACTGTGACACCCAGTTTTCAGGTTTTAGACTTGGCACTTCCAAATCATCATATCAAACAGGATTTTTGTATTTGAAATAGCAAAGTTCAAACACGACATAGAAATGAAATAGCTACAACAGCAGTAAACTTATTAAGAAAGTTGGTTTGCGGTTTGTTGTTTTTTTCATTTTTATTCCATAGCAATTAGAGGATTGGGCCATGGGATTGGTAGTCTTGCAAGTAATACAGTCACAGAATTTATTAGTGGCAGTGGAAAGTCATTGCTGTAGCCCAGAACTAGAAAAGCCACAGCGGAGGAGGAATCACTCATCCAGTGTGTGCTGCAGGGGGTAAAAGTGCTTTCATTTTAATAGTAAAAACCAATATAGTTGTTTTTCTGTTGAAACTGCCATAAAAGGTAAAATATCTGAATTTATTAATGACCATGGTGGTAGTGTTTGAGAAGAGGAAAAGGGGCAGAAATTCCCAAATTTGTAATGCTTGTCCGGTCCCTTGGAACAAAGCTAATTATGTTTTGATTCTTTATTATTACAGCACAGTTTTCAGTGCTGCAGAGTGATCACACCTCACTGACAGCCTGCACTGACCCTTTCTTGCTTGAAAAGATTTAGCAGTTTCCTCTTTGATCAACAGTCCTGTAAACAAGGGATGATTTATTGAAGTGAAAATACAGCTATAAGGTTAGGGGGTTTTTATGTAAGAAACTATATTTAATTTTATAGCTATAAAGAAGAGAGGTTACTGATGACTGAAGAATGTAAATAATGTATGTAAGTGGCATGGAAATCCTGTATTTGTACCATAGCTTTTGATAATACATTCTCTTAACACCATCAGGGGAGACCTACATGCAGTTTTTATATTTTTTTCCTTAACAGGGACAATGGTCTGTACCACATCACTATAGTGGCTAGGCATTGATGTACCCTTGTCCTTATTTTTTCCTCTTGCATTGCAAGACCCACTTCTGTGCTGTCCCATGCCTGCTCTGGTTTTACTGAAATAACTGAATTTGTAATGATTTAACATCTTTATTCACATTCAGTTTTACCTTGCCCTCAGCATCAAGAGTATCAGCCTGACATTTGGGACACTGGGGGTGTCCGCTGAGTAAATTTAAGGCCTAAAACGGTTTTATGCACTTGCATTTGTCTGCTTTGTGTTGACCTAACAGGAAATCTTTGCCTTGAAGAAGGATTTATGCAGCCCATGCTGCAAGGCATTTTCCTGCCCTTCTCTCATACCTGCCGCTATCAGTATTTCCAATCTCTTCAGTCAGCTGCTCTCTTTGAGTTCTCCTGCCCAGCATTGGGAAGTACTGTGAGATTACAGACCAGAAGCCTCAGACTTCTTTTAGCATACCAAAGACCAGAAGTCATCTGAAATGTCCTGAGCTATAACTTCAGATACGACTTTCCGCCTCTTACTACTAAAATGCCTCCAAAGGTTGAGGTCTCTAAAATGCATTGCATTAAATTATGTAATATAAATAATGCCAAAGTGCATAAAATTGAGAGTTATATGGCAAATATTATTTTTTAGTGTATGTCTTGCTTTGAAGGAATACAGAACAAGAGCTCCCAGCTGGAAACTAAAAATACAAACAATAACACAAGACTAGAAGATAATACAAAGAATAATTAATGTAAAATAAGAAATAGTTCCTTGCTTTCTCTGAAATAAACAGTCATAGTTGAAGGTTATCAAGATGCATCAGGGAAATGAAGAAGTTTCAGTGAGGCTGTTTTATAAGTTTTATGTCTAAGAGCTTTTCTCAAGGAATTCAGGCTTCCCTTGCTTGACAATAATTAAGATGATGTTTCCTCCATAACATTACTCCTGTACAGAGTCAAATATTGCATACCTCAGCATAAGCAGGACAGAAATGCAGGATAGGTTTCACTTTGGCTTTCTGACTCAAGTTGGACTCACTTTAGATTATCTCTGATCTATTCCAGGAAAGAATAAATTAATATCAAAAGAAAAATAAAGAAGAGACACACGAACACTTAATGATTATTTTTTCAAAAATCTACCAATTGGTATTAAGATTAGAGCCATCTGCTGAACTTGAGTGTTCTAGAAACAGCTGAGATTTTGACTGTTCTTGGTGGGGGAAACAGCAAGTAGTAGAAGTATTACCACCCCCACCACCCCAGCAAGATGCACACTGCGAACAACTGGAGAATAGGGTAAGGTGCTTCTCCTGGCTATGGCACAGCTTTTTGCGTGGGTGAGGAGGGACAGATTTTGCATCAGGCCAGGTCATGTCTTCTGAGAAACTTGTCCTTTATTTCTTTCTGAGATCTTTCTCATTTCAGTGAAATTGTGGTCATCAGCACTAGTTTGGTTTTGAGTTTTTTGTGACTTAAAACTTCTAGGATCATTTAAAGTGTTGAATTTTGGAAACAGAGACTTCTGAAGAAAAAAGTAAAATTTCTTCTGTGATTTTTTTTACATCACCTTTAATTGAAATGCTTGTATTATGTTAACTATTTTTTAAAAAATTAGATGTTACAAATCTAAATACAAATATTTAGATTTACATGATGTTAATAGGAGATGGGTAAGATCTATGTTTCTCTACTGATCTAGTTGAAGACTCCCCTGTTCATTGTAGGGAGGTTGGACTAGATGACCTTTAAAGGTCCCTTCTAACCCAAACTATGCTAGCCATGTTCAAGTTATGTATCAAATTGCCTATAAAATGTTGAGATTTCTGTGCACATCAATGGCAACTTTGGATTTTACATGTAAAGGTAAATAAGATATTTACAAAGAAAAAAATGGACTATGTAAAACTTCCAGGTCAGACTGGTGTTGCACGAGGGGCAGCTGTTTCACTGAAAGCACAGTTAATATGAAGTAAATGAGGCTCTCAAAGGAGGATGTTTATGGTGGCTCAGCAGTTGAGCTGTCTGAAATAAAACCCAGGTTTCTACCTCTGCAGAGCTAACCTATGCTCCTTTCTAAAAGTGGCCCACAGGGTGTCTGCAGCTCCTCCACCAGTGACTGTACCAAAAGGCAGGTGACAGCACTGACTTCTGTGAAGGCTCCTCTCATTAAATCAAAGTGAAGTAATATGAACTAAAAATTGATGGGTCTGATTCTCCCAGGTATTGCCAGGTTACATGGAGTGCCAGCAGGAATGCTGATTTACAATTTCTGAGGCTGTGGCCCATGATTTGACCTGACCTGCTAGTTCTCCCTGCTTGAGCTGGGGCAATCTAAGCAGAAATATCTCTGCCTATCAGGGTAACTTCAGAACATCATTAAAGCAGTTTGATTCCAGCTAACCTCATTTTTTATACTTCATTGCATATTCTCCTTGATTATTGCAGAGGTGAAGCTGCTTCCAGCTTAAAGTTGTTATCACTGATCTGTCTGCCAGAATAACTGGTTGGGATCACTCAGGTCCAGTTCTGATAGTGGTGTAAGGTCCTCCAATTCTGCAGATCAGAGCTGGCTCTTGCAGTCCAACATCATATCTATATCCTAGAATGGTTTGGCTTGGAAGAGACTTTAAAGATATCGAATTCCAAGACCCCTGCAGTGAGCAGGGACACCTTACAATAGACCAGGTTACTCTAAGCCCCATCAACCTGGCCTTGAAAACTTACAGGGATGCAGCATCCACAGCTTCCATGGGCAGCCTGCTCCAGTACCTCATCACCCTCACAGTGAAGAAAATGTCCAAGCACAACTGTCCCTACTTGTTCTGCAGCAATGGTATGCATGGATCAGCTGTCAGGCTGATCTTTCACATTATCCATTTTATTTAACAAAGCTATCTCTTAAATATAAGTTCTGTACTGGCTCTCTGTATGTTGTATAGAGAAGCAGTGAAGGCAAATTCAGCCTGTTGGCATTTTCACACCAGCTAACAATGGTATGCTTTTTTTCAAAGCAGCTCAGAAGACAAACCGTAAAATTCTGACCTACCTGGTCAGAGCAGGGTTATTATGAGCAGGTTTTGTCCATGTATGTTCTTATCTAATTTGTCTTTTTTCCTAAGAAATCATCTTTCTTCCAAGAGCCCATGTTCCTAAAAAAAATTAAGTAAAGGTAAGGCAAGAGATGTGCTTTGTCTTCTCTGCAGAGGAGACAGGGACACAAGTAAATGCTAATTACCAAAAACCTTTCCAGCTGATTCCACTCATATTTGCACAGACAGGTGATGGTAAAATGACTCTATATGATTTGTCACATCTATTTGCAGGCTGTGACATATATAAACTGTTTTGAATTGTCTGTGGTTTGTAATATCTTAGATGGATTTTGAGGGTGCAGGCGGTGTTCTGGGTTGTGGGGAAGCATCCCACAGGCTCAGACCCTTCTTCAGGCAAGGAATCAGGTTTCACAGTAGGAGGGCCTCCTAAGCTAAAAATTAGAAACTCTTCCAAGGTTAAGATAAAAGGGCAACTTGGAAAAAAACACTAGAAATCACAGTCCTTTAAAACAAGGATCCTCTTTAACCCCATATGGATTGGCAACAAAGTTGTGATTTTTATTTCAATTTCTCCAGTAAGTAATAGAGTAGTTTTGCTTTTACATTAGTTTAAACCTGTCTCTAGGTGGCTTCAGAGGGCAAAGAGAACACATCACTGTGTGAACAGCTGTGCTCTAGGAAGGTGGTTGCTCATGGGCAACTTCCCGTTCTTGAGGGTGGGATCTGGTCATCAGCACTTTGCCTGTCTTCCTTAATTAGCTGAGAGAAGACCAGGCAGTGCTCTGCATTCCTTGCTTCTTAGCTGCTGATGAAACTTGGAGCAAATCTTTGTACCAGAAGCATTTAAAAATGGAACAGAGGTGATGGTGATGGGGTCTGTTCACTGTGAATATCCAGCTGGGATAGCTGGAATAACTGCAAGGGAAGAGTTGCCTTTGCA